GGGAGAGAAAGAGAGACCGAGAGACAGTAGAGAAAGAGAGACAGAGACAGAGAGAGAGAGAGGGAGAGTGTGAGAGAGAACAGAGAGAGAACAGAGAGAGACAGAGTGAGAGAGGGGGGGGAGGGAGGGAGGGAAAGAGGCAGAGAGAGACAGAGACACAGAGAGAGAGATACAGAGTGAGAGAGAGAGAGTGAGAGAGAGAGAGAGAGAGAGAGAATATCTGTGAGGGAATGAATTCTTGCCACAGGATGTCAGCTGTCCTGCTATACTTCGCCCATTTTCCTTCCCAAAAGTATAAATACCAAAAACAGACAAACTTGGCACAGCTCTGGAGTTTCCTGCGCAAAACTCCACCTAGTTAAACTTGACTTCCCCCTTTGGCCATTCCCCTGAGCTCACTGTGTCATTGAATTAAATACGCTCCCTTTGTCATGGGGACAGACTGGCGTGGCTTGGGAAGGTTTGACAGCAGGGTCTCACCATGCGCAGACGGGGTCCATTCCTCCTCCCCCCATAACATTCCATCCAACACCCCCCCACCCCAATTGTTGTCAAGCTGAGAGCGAAGAAGCAACTATGTGAACGACACAGGAGTTATAATCCCAGGAGAGGGATCCAGTCCTCGACTTATGACCAGAACTGAGGCCAAAATTTCTGTGGCTAAGCGAGAGATTTGTTTGGCGCGTTTTACTCCCTTTTACTGCCTCTGTTCAGTGAATTTCCTGCAGCTGTTCAATTGGTTGTTAAGGGGATCCGGCTTCCCCGTTGACTTTGCTCATCAGGCGGCCGCGAAAGGGGATCACCCCTGCGACTGTCACAAATAGGAATCATTTGCCGAGTGTCTGAACTTAGATCGCACGACCACGGGGGATGCTGCAATGGTCACAGGTGTGAAAAATGATCCCAAGTCGCTCTTTTAGCACTGTTAATGGTCACTAAATGAACTGTTTTAAGTTGTGGACTGCGCGTATCTCTGGAGCAGCCAGATGTTCAATGAAGGGTTTAAATCTCCCCACTGGGAGAAGCCTCCCATCTATTTTTCAGGAGGAGCTGCTGTTGACCCCGGGGCCGAGGGAATAACTGCTACCCTTCTCTGTCTTGTTCCGACCCAGCTCCCCAAACACAACGAACCCTCTGACGTGAACTCAAAAAAGTCCTTTATTAGCCCCGGCAAAAAGTTTCTCTCGCAGGCCAACAAGTTGGGATGACCCAGAGTGTAACACTAATGTAACAAAACCCAAAACATAACTTGGCGCCACTATTCAATAATTCTCAGTTGGAGATAAAACTTATTCAAAAATAGTCTTCAAAAGAAAGCAATACAGTCCGAACTGAATGAGCAGATAGAGGTGAAATAAAAAACCAAAACAAACTATAATGATGAAATTTCCACAACAGACCAGGATAAGTAATTACCAACTTCAAGGAGATAACAAGGCAGAGTCTGTTGGAAGGACGCCAGCCAAGATAACTTCAGCCCAAAATAACATACGCTTTGCTTCTGGCAACGCTGTGTTTTAACCGTCTCTCTTATATACTATTCTCCCCAGCTGCAACCAATGAGGGGGATCATGGCCGCTTCCTCTCTCGTAAGCCAAGTTGTTTCCTTCTCTGTTCCTACCTGCGGGTCCTAGGATGAAGAGGGGATGGGCCTGGTTCTTCCTCTGGCCTCTGCCCTTCCCCAGCCTCCTCCACAACCTCTGGAGCCACACCTCCACTCCCTGTCGGTTGTTCCTCCTCTCCCTCAGAGTCCGATTCTACCAATAGCATGACACAAGTCCGGCCGGAAGATGAATAGTTGTCTGCTACATCTATTCATCTCCACCCCCTGCCTTTTATCCCCCGACTTAGGCTGGGGCTTCGCTAGCAGTGGTGGCTCTTCCGGCCCAAGGACCGGCCCATAGATTTCCACTGCTCTCCTCTCCTCTGTCTTCTGCATCTGCAGTCAGGCACTGGACTCAGCTATTCCTCCTCTTCCTCATCAGCCATCTCCAGACCTGGGAGCTGTCGACTCTCCATCTGAGGGGTGACGGACGGCCCAGTCTCCACCTCCATCTCTCTCTCTGTCACTCTGCCAGATCCGCTCCTTCTTCCCTGTCCTAGGTTGCCCTGATGCGGTGAGGTGAGACAACCTCCTTCTCACAACAACTGTCTCTAAAATAATCCACTCCCTTGCCAAACACCGAGGGCATTCACATCTGTGGCGTCTCACCCAAGAGGGAATTTCCTCCACCTCGGGAGGCCATTGATCAGGAAAACAAAACAGTGCAAAAGTGAAAGAGGAATGGCTTGTCAAACAAAACAAAGGTGAACTGTTTTATAGACAAGTGTGTTATAGAGCAAGGACTGAGGTCAAGTGAGGAAAGTGGATCCGCAGTAAAAGAGGGGGGAAAAAAATTAAATTTGCCACGAGGAAGGAGCTCAGAATATTTACAAATATTTAGAAAGGGGAAACTGTACTGAACATAAAACGGCCCCATATCTCTTTAGGGTAATAAAGGATAAAGATCGATTTAAAAATATTAATGGGCCGTCTTTTTCTATGCACCGTATTTTGGGCTGCAGATGGGAGCCCTTACCGTATTTCCCCGGAGAAAGCCAGCCAGTGATGGCAATGGTGATACGGAGCTGCTTCTCTTCGGTTAAGGGAAGGAATTCGAATTCTTCAATGGCTCCCACACGCTTTTTCATCTTGTACCCTAGCAGAGCACACAAATGTACAGCTCATCAACGGGACGTTTTTGGACTCTTCAAAACACAGGGCGTGGCTCGCCACAGCCTTTCTCCAAAGCAGAACCTTGGATCACACCCTTGCCTGTAGGGATGTTAATAACAAGACGAAACAAAACCTCAGGGCAGACCAGAAGCCTTTGTGGATTACCTCTGTGGGAAACAACAGAACAACAGAGTGGGAAGGGACCTTGGAGGTCATCTAGTCCAACCCCCTGCTCGGCCAGGAGACCCTACACCATTTCTGATAGCAGGCTGTCCAGCCTCAACCTCCAGTGTCGAAGCACTCACAACTTCTGGTGTCCAGCTGTTCCACTGGTTAATTGTCCTCCCTGTTTGGAAGTTTCTCCTAAATTCCAGGTTGCTTCTCTCCATGATTAGTTTCCTTCCATTGTTTCTTGTCCTGCCTTCTGGTGCTTTGGAGAATAATTTGACCCCCCCTCTTCTTCGTGGCAGCCCCCCCGAGCTAGCTCGCAATACTGCATTCTAACCAGAAGGGAGGGAAGGAAGGAAGGAAGGTAGTAATAGCCCTTAGACTTGCATGCCGCTTCGCAGCCCTCTCTAAGCGGTCTACAGAGTCAGCCTCTTTCCCCCAACAATTTGGGGTCCTCATTTTACCCACCTCTGAAGGACGGGAGGCTGAGTCAAGCTTGAGCCTGTTGAGACTCCAACTGCCAAACTGCATGCAACCGGCAGTCAGCAGAAGTAGCCCTGCAGTACCGCATTCTCACCACTGCGCCACCACGGCTCTTGGGCCGAAAGTCGAAGGGACCAGAAGAGACTCCTGTGCCGTATTCCTCCTCCTCCTCCTCCCGAGAGCCTTACCCACAAGTCCTGCTCCGGCGGCTCCAAAGAGCGAACCGATAATGGCCGCCCCAGCTGCTGACCCCAAGGCCATGGCCCCAGTCCCGATGATGGCCGCTGCTCCGGTAGCCACCAGGGGCGCTGCAAGCCCTCCGGTCAGGCCTGAACAGGAAACAGGAGGACTTTCAGTTCCCAAAAGAGGCAAAAGAAACCAGGTTGGGCTTAAGCAGCGTTCAGGAAAAACCAGGTTGGGGTTAAGCCGCGTTCAGGACTCTTTTGCTCGCTCACCCTAGAGACGTCCTTCCCTCTGAAGAGGGCCCAGAGTCTGTTGCTCCCTATTACAGGTGGCCCTCGACTTACAACCGTTTGTTTACTGACTGTTCAAAATTACAATGGCACCAAGAAAAAAGGAACTTAGGACCGTTCCTCACACTGAGGAACTGAGATTTTGGGCTCAGTTGTGGTTGTAACTCGAGGACTACCTGTCCCAAGACTCGTCCCCGGACTGCTGGGGAACGATGTGGCCAGACTCTGTGCCGTTTGGGGGAGGAGAGTCCAAAGATCTCACTTACCGATGACCGTCCCTCCGCCCACGGTCGCCAAGCCAATCAGCAGGTAACGCTTCAGCCTCTTCCTTCTCTCCTTCTTCCGCTTGTCTTCATCCATTCTGGGGGGTGAGAGGAAGAAGAAAGCAAAATAACTTTCCTCCCTATCAGCAAACGGACCCTAATTAACGGCACTGATGGTGTTACCTAGTATGGTCATGAAACGTCTGCAAGAAATCAAGCACGCTCAGAGAGCCCCAAGGACCCCACGGTTCCTTCCTCCCTCCCTCCCTTCCTTCCTTCCTTCCTTCCTTCCTTCCTTCCTTCCTTCCTTCCCTTCTTTCCTTCCTTTCCTTTCCTTTCCTTTCCTTTCCTTTCCTTCCTTCCTTCCCTTCCTTCCTCCCTCCCAAACCCCAATCCCAACTAGCACTGATAACGTTACCTAATTTGGGTTATGAAACGTCTTCAAGAAAACAAGTTCAGAGAGCACCAAGGACCCCTCAGTCCCTCCCTCCCTTTCTCTCTCTCTCTCTCTCTTCCTCCTTCCTTCTTTTCTTTTTTCTTTCTTTCTCCCTTCCTATTCCTTCCTTCCTTCCTCTCTCCTTCCCCCCCTCTCTCCCTCCTTCCTTTTCTTCTATTTCTTTCTTTCTCCTTTTCTATTCCTCCCTTCCTTCTTGTCCCTCCCTCCCTCCCTCTTTCTCTCTCTCTTCCTCCTTCCTTCTTTTCTTTTTTCTTTCTTTCTCCCTTCCTATTCCTTCCTTCCTTCCTGTCTCTCCTTCCCCCCCCTCTCTCCCTCCTTCCTTTTCTTCTATTTCTTTCTCCCTTCCTATTCCTTCCTTCCTTCCTGTCTCTCCTTCTCCCCCTCTCTCCCTCCTTCCTTTTCTTCTATTTCTTTCTTTCTCCTTTCCTATTCCTTCCTTCCTTCCGGTCTCTCCTTCCCTCTTTCTCTCTCTCCCTCCCTCCTTCCTTTTCTTCTTCTTCTCTCTCTTTCTCTCTCCCTCCCTTCTCCCTCCTCCCAAACCCCAGCCCTCACCAGCACTGATGATGTTACTAGTTTGGGTAGTGAAAGGTCTGCAAGAAAAGAAGCAAACTCAGAGAGCACCAAGGATCCCACAATCCTCCTCCTCCTCCTCTCTGCATACTCCACTCCCTTCTCCCTATGGATGAAGTTACCTAGTTTGGTAATGAAACGTTTGCAAGAAATCAAGCAAGCTCAGCGACCACCGAGGAACCCACAAAATTAACTACCTCACATGGCACCAAAGAGGTTTCACTTTTGTTCTCAAGAGTGTCAACGGACACATCAGAAAATGAAATCCGATGCACAAAGCAAAACTCACCTGTCAGGTAGCTCCTATTTCCCAAGCAGCTTGGTAGGATAAAAAAACAGCAAAGGTGAAAATACAGAAGGGCTGGAGGAAGTTCAGGAGGGCCATACTTCATAACAGGGCGTTAAAAGCAGATTTTTTAAATTCATACTCAGCATTATTATTATTTTTTTTAAGCAAGACCCACAATTTCAATAAGACAAAAGCTGGACGGGCTCAAACGGCTACAAAAGCCAGAGAAATTTCCCCACTTTTGGGGAGGAAAATCCTACCAGCAAAATTAGTCTTCCCCCTCACCTTCTTTGGCTGAATAAAACAGACGAGGAAGGGATTAAAACACGGAGCTGTTTTAATCGTCGCCTTGTAATGCAGGGCCTGGTTGAAGTCTTGGACTGCCCTTGATTATTTCACCTCAGCTCTTGGCTGGGGAAAAAAATAGTTTCAGCTGAAAACAGTTATGTTTCTTTCCAGTTTTCTTGGGGAAAAGGAGCTTCTGAAACTCGGGAGAAAGGAAAGAAAAGGGATTCAGAGGAAAATGCCACTTTTTGCCCTTGAGGTCCGAGTTTTGAAAAGCAGCAGCTCTTTTATCGGCTCTGATTAAAATACAGCCCTATCTGCAGGAAGCAAATATTTAAAACGCACGTATGTTTTTTCCCCCCCCCCCGCTAGCTGGGCAATATAGATTATTTCGTGGCTGGCCCAAAGGCCTGCGAGAAACATACTCCGATTCTGCCTCTTTTTCGTCCTTCAGACATTCAAGGAGATAGTCCTCAGCGTCTTCCAGTTCTGCCAATGGGATCGTCAGCAAGCCGGCCATGTGGGACACAAGCACCCGCATGCGAGCATCGTAGGAGCCTAGACGAACAAGGCAGGAAGAGGCAGCATTGGAGAAGCTAGTTCTAAGCAAAAATAAAATAAAATAAAATTTGGGCAAAAAAGTAGATAGGAAAACATTGTAGATTTTTTAAACCCGAACCTTTTTCTATCAGGTATAGTGCCAGAAAAAAATTGATAAACAAAATATATATTTAATATTGTATGTGTTAACAACAGGGAGGATTATATTTGTGCAATACTGGAAAAATGAAGAAATACCACAAGACAAAGAGATAAATATGAGCCGTGGTGGCGCAGTGGTGAGAGTGCAGTACTGCAGGGCTGCTTCTGCTGCCTGCCGGCTGCCTGCAATTTGGCAGATCGAATCTCACCAGGCTCAAGGTTGAACTCAGCCTTCCGTCCTTCTGAGGTCAGTAAAATGAGGACCCAGATGGTTGGGGGTAAGAGGCTGACTCTGTAAAACCGCTTAAGGAGGGCTGGAAAGCAGCGTGAAGCGGTATATAAATCTAAGTGCTATTTGTATTAGGAACTGTGGGGGCGCAGTGGTTAGAATGCAGCATTGCAGGTTAATTCTGCCGACTGACAGCAGTTCGATCCTGACAGGCTCAAGTTTGACTCAGCCTTTCATCCTTCCAAGGTGGGTAAAACGAGGACCCAGATGGTTGGGGGCAAGAGGCTGACTCTGTCAACTGCTTAGAGGGGGCTGTAAAAGCAACGGTGAAGCGGTATATATGTCTAAGTGCTATTGCTAATTAGGAAGATACTGGGTTGTGCAGAAATGGACAGACTTACACCGAAGATTAAACAGAAAGAAAAAAAAAGAATATTATCAAACATGGAACTTATTCTACTAGTGGTCGGAAAAAAGGGGTGGAAAATGAGAACGGCATATGTACCGCTAAGCAAATTAAATAACCCAGACAACACAAAGTTTATTAAGCACTAACAAAATATAAACAATAGACAATCAATAAAACTTTATTTTAGTCCTCACCGACTTGTGACAGAGGAAGGAGAAAATTTCCCAAAATCTCTCGTCGATTGTCTGGTTTTCCCCCCCAAATTTATCCTACACGAGCTCTTTTTGCTTTGCCTCCCTGGCTAAATGCTCATAAAAACAACGGAAGAAAAGAAAAACGGGCCCTCAAACATCACTTACCGTCCTTGAGAGAAAAGGAGACCAGGTCCTAGAAGAGAAAGACATGGGAGAAGTGGTGAGGGTTGTTTTTTTTTAAAAAAAAAAAAAAAGGGAAAAAAGGGCATTCCCCAGAAAGTGGGAATTTGGGTCGGTTGGCGAGAAGGCAGCCCCCTCCCCTCATGAAAAAGAGAAGGGGAAATGGGGAGGTTTGTGCGCCGCACCTCCCTGCCCAGAGGTGCTGCATTTCTGGGGAGCGAAAGGAAGAAAAGGGGACCGCCTCCCGCGGTGTCTTTCAAAGTCCTCCTTAATTCAGAAAGGATCGACCACACCCACCGGTAAGCTTAGGGCGTGTGTGTGTGTGTGTGTGTGTGTGTCAAACTCAAGATCCATCCCTTGGGGTGGCTTAGATCCGGCCCATGGGGGTGAGGCTGGAAACAGCAAAGGACTGGCCTGCCAGCAAAAATGGAGCATGGGGGGGTCTTGCACAGCTCCCCCCACCTCCACGGTGCCCCGCTTTGGACTGCGATGGCTCCTGTGGCCCTCTGACAGAGAAAAGGGAGCTGGGTGGGAGGAGGGGGCTGTAGGAAGCTGTTGTGGCTGAAAACGGGGCTCTCCGTTTTCGCTGGCAGGCGGCTATCAAAACAAAACAAAAGGAGAACCGTTTCCCCCTTTGCATCTGAGCGCGCAAGAAGGGGCAGGAAAGAAAGGGAAAGAGGAAAGACGAAGAAAAAGGAGGGAAGATGGGAAGAGAGCAAGGGAGGAAAAAGAAGGGAAGAGGGGGAAGGAAGAAGGAAGGAGAAGGAAGAGGGGAGGAAAAAGAAGGA